GATCTCTGCTATCCTTGCCATCTATGTTTTTTTTTAAAAGGTCCATTTTGCTTTTTTTTCCTAGGGAAAAAAAATATGATAGTAGCAGTGCTGAGTTTTAAATGGAGAGTTTGGGGGGGTGGGTGATGGAGGGCAGTCAGCAAATAACTATACAGAGTTCCCCTCTGGCTTAGCACATTGGTAGTAATGAGTAGGACATCAAATAGCTTGTTCTTGTGATCATTGTTATCATTATTACTGTTGTTTCTTCCTTGCCAAAATAATTTAACCAGCCATAGATATTCTGACTGTAACCTGAGAGAGACTATTTACAATTTGGTTTTTAGCTCTTATTCTTATGTTATTCTTTTTTCTTTCTTAGCTGTTATTCCTTTTACTTCAGCTGCAGAATTACTGCAAACTTTCCTGAATCTCAAGCTGGCCCACTTGCTGCTATTTTCTTTTTTTCTTTTTTAATTCTATTAGTGACTCATTTCCTCACCAGCCTTGGGCACTCATATGCATTTGTGACATTTCATTGGCTCTGCCTTTTTGACAGCCTACAATTTCAGCTCTTCCGTGTGGCAGCCCATAATGCTGACCACCGATTGATGGGCAGGAGTTATAGAGGGAAGGATTCTCTACTGTTGTTTTTAAAGGTGTCATGATTTCTTTTAAGTTTGTATGGTGCTTCTGTGAAAAAGAAATATCCAGTCAGGCATCAAAATAAAGATTCAGCTGTGATGTTCTGATATATGAAACACTGGAAAAAGTTTTCAAAATTAAGTTCAGAGGAAGTATTCAGTGACATCTGTAGGGGAAATTTAAAAAAGGCAAGATAGTGATTGTGACAGTGTGACTGAAGCTCAGTGTTTTTGTAGGTGTATGTTCAAAAGTGGTGGGGCTTTGATCTTACTGCCACAACTATTAACTCAACTTTTTGAACCTTCCCACCCATCACTCATCTCCTGGATGCACAGAAAGTGTTCTACATTGGATTAAACTATTATCCACAGTTGATCCAATGACTCCTATTTGCTACAATGGCCAATTAGACATTTATGGCAAGCCCAACAATAGGACATGAGCCCAATTATGCGGTGTGGTTCTTGTTCAATAATAATAATAATAATAATAATAATAATAATAATAATAATAATAATAATAATAATAATAATAATAATAATAGTAGTAAAGTTGGAAGGGACCTTGAAGGTCATCTAGCCCAACCCCCTGCTCAGGCAGGAAACCCTATACCATTTCGGACAAATGGCTGTCCAGTCTCTTCTTAAAAACTTCCAGTGTTGGAGCATTCACCGCTTCTGGAGGCAGGTTGTTCCACTGGTTAATTGTTCTCGCTGTCAGGAAGTTTCTCCTTAGTTTTAGATTGCTTCTCTCCTTGATTAGTTTCCACCCGTTGATTCTTGTCCTGCCTCCAGGTGCTTTGGAAAATAGCTTGACTCCCTCTTCTTTATGGCAGCCTTTGATCATAGAAGTAAGTTAGCATCATCTTGAATATTGCCCACTCATTGTCTTATGCTCGCTATGAATTTTTGTTCTTTTTAAAACTATGTAAACTGATGATTATCATTTCTAATGGATACGGTGATTATAATAGCAATAGCAATAGCACTTATACACCACTTCACATTGCTTTACAGCCCTCTCTAAGCAGTTTTCAGAGTCAGCATACTGCCCCCAACAATCTGGGTCCTCATTTTACTGACTTTGGAAGGATGGAAGTCTGAGTCAAACTTGAGCGGGTGAGATTCAAACTGCAGGCAGCCGGCAGTCAGCAGAAGTAGCCTGCAGTACTGCATTCTAGCCACTGCGCCACCAGGGCTAATTCTCATAATGTGATCAGACATGATGGACAAAGAGAAGAACTAGAGGTGTCATGATATGTGACATATTTGAGAGGCCATCCTAAAGAGGGGGACAAAGCACTTGAGGTCAAGACAAGAAGTAACAGACTGAAATTATCAAAGAGAAATCCAACCAAAAATTAAGAAGAAATTTCCTTATCAGTGAGAACAATTAATCAGTGGAATGGCTTGCCTTGTGGGTGCTCAAACACTGGAGGATTTTAAGAAGAAATTGTCCGAAATAGTATAGGGCAGGGGTAGGCAACCTTGGCTCTTTTATGACTCGTGGACTTCAACTCCCAGAATTCCTGAACCAGCTATTCTGGGAGTTGAAGTCCACGAGTCATAAAAGAGCCAAGGTTGCCTACCCCTGGTAAAGGGTCTCCAGCAGGGGGTCAGAGTAGAAGATGTCCAAGGTCCCCTCCAACTCTGTTATTCTGTGTGCAAAAAACTAAGCCATCGCAGAAGAAATAAAGACCTTTAAGTTCCATCAAAATAGAAGTGACCAGGTGTCAAGTGAGGGTCTTGTGAGTGGTCTTGTGATGGGTCAAGTGTGAGTGTGTCAAGTGAGGGTCTTGTGATGGGTCAGATGTGGGTCATCAATTACAGTACACCTGAGTTACAGATATTCACCACTATTGCAGATTAGGATTTATTAGGATTTGCTTGGCTTATAATTTATGAACTTTAATGTGAGATAGTTAATAAGAAGTCATTACATTTCCATTCAGGCTAAGTGTCTAGTCAGATGGTCCTTGATGTATGACCATATTTTAAGCCCACAATTTTATGAGAGTTGTAAAGTGTGTTATCAGGTGACCATGTTGATTTTACAACCTTTTTTGCAGCTGTCGTTAAGCAAATGAAACTGGAAGCAAATGCCAGTTTCCAGCAAAAATGTCATAAATTACACTGCACATGACTGCAAATTACACTGCAAATGCAGGGTAAATTACACTGCAAATGCAGGGTAAATGCCAAGCACCCAAAATGCACGTGATCACGGAGGGGAGAAAGGACATCAGAACTTTGAATCCAGGTTGTAAATCCATTTAGGGGGAGTCTGTTGTAACTTCAAATGGCCACTAAGCAACCAGTCAAGGAATACTTGCATTCTCACAGGATGAAATTTGGGTGCCTGAATCATCAGGAAAGAGTATGTGATAAAAGTAGAATAGTAATTGACACACTCTCCTCAGCCGAAAGAATTTTTTTTTCAAAAAAATAAATACGTAAGTAAACAACTGGTGCTATTTTACAAATAAAAGAATTGTTTTTAGTATGTTCATTGTTCTAATATAGGTAAATAAGTTTATCTCAGTACACATTACACATGCATTTCTTTCTATCTGTAACCAGACTGGAGGAACAGAAAGTGTAAGGGCAACTTTTTACAAGGAGATTGCAATTAAATGGCAATTTCCAGGTTAAGGTTTGGCTAAAGCACTTTAAAAAAAAATGCTATGCCCCCACTCAATCTTGACTCCTGACAACTGCCTGGACAAATCCCTGCAGATTTTGAAAGTAGTTTCAATCAATCAATCAATCAATCAATCAATCAACCAACCAACCAACCAACCAACCAACCAACCAACCAACCAACCAACCAACCAACCAACCAACCAACCAACCAACCAACCAACCAACCAACCAATCAATTCTTGTTACAGACCACATTTGAAGTAGTTTACCATTGCTTTCTTCTTCCTAAGATGCTGGGGGGGGGGGGAGAGAGACTGCCCAAAGTCACTCAGCTGGTTTTGTGTCTAGGGCAGGATTAGAATTCATGATCTCATGGTTTTTAATGCTTTAGCCACCACACCAAAGTGACCTTCGTTGGTTAGACTTCTGCTTAGTACCTATTTTATAAATGTTTAAATTGTAAGTCAGTTCTATAATCGCCACTGAAACATTTTCAAGAAGCTTTTAGTATAACGTGGTATAAAATCGAGCTAAATAGTAATGACATGATGTTTCTCAGTGACTCTTTGTCAACCTGGAGAACAATTGAGGGTTCTGTGAAGTTCTTTTCTCTTGTAACTTATGTAAAAATTATGTATATACTGAGGGATGCTCATTCAATCTACACTTGGCTCCAAACTTGAGAAGAGAGCAGCTAAGGTATTAAAAACAGGATTAACGGTCAGAAGGGTCCAAAATGAATAAATGGAATGATAAATGTAATGTTTTGCAATGTACATTATAGGTGTGCAATGAGTGACATCTGAATTTACAGCCACATAGGAGAAAAACGATGGACAGGATGAAGGAAAATCCTCAAGCGTCCTGGGGCAGAAGCCAGAAGAGCAAAGTCCAAATTTTGCCAGTGTATGAGGTGGCATAACTAATGCTTCCGTTTACCCATTCCGCTAAACTACAAACACAAAGTGGCTTAGGCCAGTGTTGTAACATAACAACACGGTCCCAAGGTTTGAGTAATCATTTAAGTACTTTCCCAGAAGGAAAGTGCTCGGTGGTCATGCTTTCCTATAACTCAGCCAATCTAAAGCAGCTCCTCCGCCGGCCGCGGCTGAGAACGGGGCGTCTCCTTCTCCCGGCCACCGGCGACCTCTCGCAACAGGAGAAGCGCTCGCCAAGCTTACGCGGCCTGCGGCTTCCGGCGCTCGGGCCTCTGAGAGGCTGCCGGGCGGGGTGACGCACGGGCAGAAGTGCCCAATGAAAGAGGCGCGCCGTGCCCGGGACCGAAACCGGGCGATGTATAAAGTGGGGCGCGCCGCTTGGAAAGAAGGAGCGAGAGGGTGGAGCGCATTGCGAGGGTCTCTGTGGGGCGGCGACGGCGGCCTTTTTCTTTTCCTGCTTGTCGGGGTGGGGGAAGCCTTTTGGCCGGGCACCACGCGGCAGACACGGAGGTCGGCCGGTGATTTTTAGAGGCGATTTCTTTAGTTATCAGTTCTCACTTCGGCCGCGGGACCCCGTGAGAGGAGCCAGACGTTTCCTTTGGCTCCAGGCTGGGCGCACGAGCTGTCAGGAAACGCCTCTCGCCCCTCCCTATTGCCGGTATAGTTTCTTGGGGAGTGGGTGAGCCCACTTTCAACTTCTAGCGGGGTCCGCATCTAGTCTCTGCTCCCTTTCCAGCGTGCCCAGGAGTCTCTGAGGAGCACCGGCTCTCCAGGGCTGGGCGCCGTCCTGGACCAAATGGAGAAAAGGAAGCCGCGGGCCGCGGTGGAGCAGTCCCTGCGAACCGCCAGCTGCAATGGGTACGCGCTGGCAGAGAAGCCGCCGCCCCTTCAGCGGAGTCGCTCGGGAGAAGCGCCGTCCCGTAGCTGGAAGACCGCGGCTGGCGGGCATCCCTTAGAGAGCTGGAAGGAAGAGCGGACCCGCAGCGAAGAGGACAACGAAATGAACTTGCCCGGCCTGGCCGCCGCTTACACCACCATCCTGAGTGCCTTGGGCGAGGACCCGCAGCGCCAGGGGCTGCTCAAGACGCCCTGGAGGGCGGCCACGGCCATGCAGTACTTCACCAAAGGCTATCAGGAGACCATTACAGGTGGGGTCCGGGCGGGGGGGGGGGGCGCGCGCGCGCGACCCGTGGCTTTTTAAGGCTCGTAAAGCATTGAAATGGGGAATCTTCACAACAATCCTGTGGGGTAGACCAGTTATTACAGATTATCCAGGAGGAGCTGGTATAACAGTAGGGCTCAAGTGAATGATCACAGTTTCTGGAGCCCTGCTTACATTTAAGGTATACATAGTGTTAAGAAGTTTAACGGCTTTCCTTGTAAGGCAGGTAGTGCCTACAGTTTGTCTGTTGGAGATAACGGATGAGAGAGAAGTGAGAATCAAAGTCTCGAGTACACAAAGGCTTGTTGGAGGCTGGTGCACCCAGCTTCCTTCCATTGAAATCCACATGACTTAAAAGATTTTTTTTTCCTTTCAATCTAGCTCGGGGTAGTCAACCTTGGCTCTTTTATGACTCGTGGACTTCAACTCCCAGAATTCCTGAGCCAGCACAGCTGGCTCAGGAATTCTGGGAGTTGAAGTCCACGAGTCATAAAAGAGCCAAGGTTGACTACCCCTGATCTAGATGGCCTGTTAACTTTTTTGTAGTCTTTTACAAAGCTGAAAGAGGTGGGGCCATGCCACCAGGATGCTTTCACCCAATTGCTTCATAAATAATAGTTAAAGGTGCTGGATTAGGAGCAGGCAGACAAGTTAGAGTTCTCATCCTCTGGTAGGCAGAGAAGCCAGCTGAGTGATTTTGGGCTGGTTGTTTGCTCTGAGCCCGAGACTGGAAAGTTAAGAAATATTGGGACTTACGCATAGCAAATCCCTTCTGAAAATCTTGCCAAGAAAATTGCATGGATCTGCCCATGTGGGTCACTAGGTGTTGATATCCACTCTCGCCAACAACAAGGGCTGGAGTTGTACCAGCAGGATCCTCTCCTTCAGTTGCATCGTAAGTAATAAGACTGCCCTGCTTTTTCATAATCCTGACCAATACAGCAGTACTGAAGGCCTGGGTGGCATCTTGCCCTAGGGCCTAGTCCAAAGTATGGTTTGCTTGTTTATGGCTTAGTACTGAATGATCTTGGTCCCTGTGATTTGCAAATCATTGTTCAGGGGTTAGCATGTTGCACAGGAGGAAGGAATATTATGTATGTTTGCCACCTTGAGTTACTTTTGAAGTAATAAAGGTAGGATAAAAATCTGATAAATAAACTATGCTTTGCCAAATAAACATTAAGCATGATTAAACAAAACATGGCTTACTGCCTAATACGAACATAGCCAAAACATTCATAATACTGGATACTTTACAAAAATAGCATTAATGCTTTCAAATATACTGAGATGATGGAAGTCATACTCCAGTACAAAAGGAGGAATATCAATTGTAGAATATCAATTTATTACTATCTTTAATCACTCTGTAATTATTTCCTTTTCTCTCACATGATTTAGATTTAAACTTAGGTCTAGATTTAGATCCTGTCTTTCCTGCAGGAATGGACAATGTCTGATGTATTCCTATTTTTTTCTCCACAACAGCAACCTGATGAAGTAGGTTGGGCCAATTCTTTCTCAGCTCAGCCAGTCAGTGAGTTTCCATGACTGAGGGTCAACCTGAATCTCCATCACTTTGGCCATAGGCCACTAGCTTAATCACTCCACCACACTGCCTCCTCAAGAATGAAACAAAAGTCCTCCTAGCTTAGCAAATATGCCTTTACATATTTAGTGAACAAACACTAAAACTCTTTTTCTATGTGACTGGAGGCAAGAAATTTATGTTCTGAGCTAAAATTTCCATCAATCTAATGGTTACAATATATCCAGACCCTAGAAAAGAGAATCTACCTGTCATCTATTCTAGTTTTTCTCAGCTTTGGCAACTTTATGATTTGTAGTCTTCAACTCCCAGAATTCCCCAGCCAGCATTTTGTTTTATCCTATTAGGTTGACAAGATTGGGATCCCTCTCCTGTAACCAACAGTTTTGAGGCAGAAACTCTAAAAGGAAATTTCTCAACATGCTACTATAACTTTCACCACTGATTAATTGCAGTGCATAGTGATATGAAGAGCTGGAAAATCACGAAGTCAAAGACTTTTTCCCTGGCTTTGTTATCTCTGTCTCGGTCATTTTCACAATCCTTGTGGGAGAGTTGGGACATAGCATTAACTCTACATAAAAGATTGCAGTTGATGTATCCATTTCAGGATTGACTGTCCTAGATCAAATATGGACTTTGTGCTGCTGATTTTTTTTGGGGGGGGGATGTGGTGTTTTTCCATATAAAAGAATGACTGAGTATTTTTTTAATACTCCCATGTAATTAGCACATCAACAAAATGAGAATGAGGTGGCCAGTTTCTGTCCAGCAATTCATGTGATCAGAAGCTGTTGAAGACATAAAAATGAGCAAGATGTTTCTGCAATATTATGGAGCTTTACCAGGTTGAAATCATTTAGATGAAACTTTCCCTGTTGTATCTTTATGTAGCAGACGTCTTGCAATTGTTTTGTAGGAACAATGTGAAGATAGATTTTCCCATTCTGCAGTCCAGGCTCATTGGACTTAACAGCCTCCATCACATTCAATCATTGAGATTTGGTTCACAGGAATTGTGGGAGTTGCAGTTCAACAGGCCTGAAGGATGGTTTCATTCCAACTTACCTACATTTTCTTTAAAGTTCATATGCAGTAGCTGGTACAGTAGTGTGTCTTATGTAGCACTGCATTGTTATGTAGCATTTAGGAGGAGTAAGTTTTGATTCAAGCACTATAACAACAATATGAAGATAAATATGGGAATCTATTGGAGTGGGTGGCCATCATAAATTTAATAAATCCTGAGACAAAATAAAGTGACTATGGGCATCACTTCCTTACAGCCAATATCCCTATGTGATACTTTCATGTGTGTTTAATAAACTCCTGTCATCCCAGCCAGAATAAAGAAAATAGGAATTATAATCTATCTGGTGGGTTCCAAGTTGGAAAAGGTTTGTTAAAGTCAGGAAAATTTTAGGAAGCCAAATGAAAATGATCTTAATTGCAATATTCTTTTTTTTATTATGCAGTTTTCTGAACTTTATGAGGTGGCGGGCAGGGAATCATGCTGATATCATATTCCATTTGTAATTTTTCTATATAATTGTGTCTTCTTTTTCCTTACTGAAAAAGAATGTAGTTAAGGAGGCAAAAGTGGAAAGCCTGTGAAATACCAGGTAGCAATATCATATTTGGGCTGAAAATACCCGAATGACATCTAGATGACAATAAAGAGTTAGTCTTCTGGATCTCTTTGCCTCTAAATAATGATTATAAAGAACAGGTTTAGTAGCCCTAACATCAGTTGCCAACTCTCTAGAAAGAGCCTATTTTGTTCAGAATTGTGTTTCTCTGGTGTTAAGTGAACAATGGGTTAATGTTTTCTACACAAAAAGCCAATATGAACATATCCCAACTATGCCAATGACTCATGAGATCTTGCTAACTGGTTACTTATGTACCATCAAATTATCAACCACATAGATAAGACCTGACTTCCATGATTCCACAAGACAAATAGTGGAGGAAGGGCTAAAGATATAGGGAACTTCTTTAAACATTCAGACTATTAGCAGATGTTTTGTAAAAATAACCAGTTGTGAACCCTACTTTTCAAGGTTTTATGGTGCTTACCAAGCTGTACTTGTTCAGGCTGACTCAAGGACACAAATGCTGATGTATGGTCAATCCAACACACGTGAATGTTTCCTAAAATTGGAAGGGGAACGTAAACTCTTGTTCTGATCAGATCTGTTCCAGCACAGTGGACAGGGGCAGCTCTCACCCTGAAGAGAAAAGGCTGATGCCCCTGAAGCAGGGAAGGAAGCAAGACTTTCAATGATGCACCATTGTGATCAAGTCTATACATCTTACAGCTTATCATCCTCTTTTTCTTTTTTCTTCCACCTTTCCCACCATTATGGACTTCTCAGTGTAGCTAATTTTTCACTCAATGTGTTCAAAATATGATTGTTTGAGCCTGGCCATTTGTGTACCAAGTGAGAACTCTAGATTGATTTTTGTTGTTGTTGTTGTTGGCTATCATGGTCTTCTCCAAGAGTCTTCTCCAACACCAAGGCTCAGACACGACAGTACTCTATCCCTTTTCTTCAAAGTCTAACTTATTTGATGTGTCTCTCTGCCAATTTACTGTGCTTCTCTGAAGGGAAGATGACCCTGCATTTATTAAATCCCCCCCAAAAAATTGAACAAAATACAATTTGAACAAAAAAAAAAGTGCAATATATTGCTTCCCTACCCTGTCACCTAACCCAGTTCTAACAAATTAATCCTGGGGAATCTTTTTCATCCCCAAATGTCCATGTATGTATTTTTTAAAAAAATCTTATAATATTCAGAAAAAAAGAAATATAACAAAATTGCTAGATCTAAGGGGAAAAAGAAATAATTAAATTATATTCACACTACCAATAGCACTTAGACTTATATACCACTTCACAGTGCTTTACAGCCCTCTCTAAGTGGTTTACAGCATACTACAAAACTATGAATGAAACCTAACCAATAAGAAATACATTAATCAACCATATTGAAGAGTATTAGTCAGACTTTTTCTTGCATTGATATGAAACAAGTAAGGAAAGTAAGCAAATCTTATCAATGCATGATTTAACTTTGGGTTCAAGGTAAAGCCATTTTTTTGAGTGATAGTCCATATACAATAAATCCAGAGTTCTTTATACATCATTAAATTTCACATTTTTCATATATATTTCAGCAGGACATTAACATCTTTCAACATTATTTCTTTTTCCAATTTCATATTAACTTATTTGCATGTATTACTCCAAAATAGGGCAACCATTTCCAAAACATGTATCAATGTCTCCTCCACCATTTACATTTCCAACATACTAAAGTTGTCAGCCAGTCTTTAAACATCCTTTGAGGTGTTCAATATAATTTTAAAAACCCAATATTTTGTTGGGTTAAATGCATTTTAAAGACCAGAGACACATATTTAACATTTT